GTCAGCCTCTCTGCTCCTATGATGCTGCTTGGCCTGCTGTGTTCATCCAGCCCTGCACCTTGTTGTCTCGGATTCTCCAGCATCTGCAGTTCCTACTATCTCTGAAGCACTTTTAAAATCCTTTGTTGGGTTGAGTGATCTTTGTTTTAGTTAGTCACTTGCAAAATCATCCAGGTTTTTGGATTAATTTTTCAAAGTTTCAGTTTAAAAAAAGTGTGCAGGAGAAGGAAAACATGAGATTTTTTAAAAATTGCCAACATAATGATTATAGAGCTCTTTAAAAATAATGAACAATTTAAAATCCAAATTAGGATGACACTGCATTGGCATGCCAACAGGCAGGTGTTGAACCTCCAAGCAGCTGCACAGCCATGTAGTTTAACGGAAATGTTGGTTATGGGGAAAGGCAGGGAAGTAGAATTGAGTATTTCAAAATCAGCAATAATTTCACTGAATAGGACAGCAGACTTGATTGGCTAAATGGCCTATGCTGCTCCTATATCATATAAGCTGTAAACAGCCTCATTTTAAATTTTTTTTGGTTTGCAACCGAGTTTAGATTACGAGTTGAACATTTAGCAGCAGCTTACTTTAGAAGAAAACTAAGATAGATGTTTGCTGCTAAGAATTGGCCTGGACGATAATGCAACTTAGAACATTATTTAAGGAAACTGTAGATGAATTGCCACTAAGCTGTTGCTTATGCTCAGGGCTGGCAGCTGGATTCACTAACCAGCCGGACAGAACAATAATTGGGTGGCAAGCAGCGCTAACCTGCGCCGTGAAAGAGTTCAAAACTTCACTAAAGTCAATCGAGCAATTTTCACTCTGATCTGCATTTTTCGAGCCAAGATAATGTATCACATGGAAACAGGGCATAGAGCACAAGGTTTTAGAAGGACCATGTTAGGCCTCGGATTGAAAGTGATCTTAGTTGGCGATGGCGCAAAACAAGAGACAATCCGTTTCATCGTTCGCATCAATACAGGTGTCCACTGAAGCCAAATCACCACTCGACTAAAATGCAATAAGAAGCAAATTCCAGAACGCGAAAACCTAAAAATGAAGGATTTTGCTGCCACGAGGATGTTAAAATTAATGGGATATTTGACAAGAAAATAGTTACTCGTTGGGTTGAGTTACTTTTAATAACTACATGGCGGGCATGAAATAAACAACAATTCCGCGACCCCTTCAGCAACACTCACCGACTAACGACCCCAGCAACCCATTAACGCCTTCCCACAATCCCTTTCCTACAGGAAGTTGCTGGAGATGCGCGAGCGGCGACTGGTAAAGGCGCCTCCTTCATGCTGCGTATTTAAATAAGTGTATAGATGTCCCGAAACGGAAATACGATCCCACATCCAACATGTCCCCTCCCCGCGGCATGTTCTGAAGAAATCAGTGCTTGGACCCCAGCTATTCACACATATATTCAAACAAATTCCCATTAATCTGCATTGCAAGATTTTAATAATATCATTGCAGTTTCTGTATTTTTTCATATAGTAAGTGACTATTATGAACCCTTCATCGTATTTGTGCTTTACGCTTAATTTTGTACTGGTTTTATAAAGATCGGGAGAAAGATATCGACAAAGTGAAAGAGATCAAGATAGAGAGAAGTCGCGGGAGAGAGAGGTCGAGGGGGAGAGACAGTGAGAGGCAGATCGACAGAGGGGTCGAGAGAGAGGCGGAGAAAGAGTGATGGCGACAGAGAAAGAGAAAGTAAGAGACAGAGAGGTACAGGAAGAGAGAGAGATAACAAGGTGTAGAGCTGGATAAACAGCAGGCCAGGCAGCATGACAGGAGCAGGAAAGCTGACGTTTCTCGTCTGGACTCTTCTTCAGAAATGGGGGAGGGGAAGGGGACTCTGAAATAAATAGAGAGGGGGAGGCGATGATGGAAGATGGATAGAGGAGCAGATAGGTGGAGAGAAGATGGACAGGTCAAGATAGCGGGGATAAGGCTAGTAGGTAGGAAAAGCGGGTGGGAGATGGCCGGTGAGGTAGGAGGAGCGGATAGGTGGGAGAAAAGACGGACAAGTCAAGGAGGCGGGGACAAGATGGGCTAGTCTTCGGATGAGATCGCGGGGGTGGGGAGCTTTTGAAGCTTGTGAAGTCCAAATCGAGGCTATTGGGCTGCAGGGTTCCCAAACAGAATATGAAGTGCTGTTCCTCCAGCCTTCGGGTGGCATCGTTGTGGCACTGGAGGAGGCCCAGGATGGACATGTTGTCCATTCGCGACTGGGAGGTGTAGTCATTTGTCACGAACCAAGCGTAGGTGTTCCACAAAGCGGTTTCCAAGCCTCCACTTGGTTTCCCCGAAGTAGAGGAGGCCACATTGGGAATGTGGAACATAGAACAGTACAGCACAGTACAGGCTCTTTGGCCCACAATGTTGTGCCGAACTTGAACCCTAAGGTCTATCTAACCTCCACCCCTACCTTATACTATCATCCATATGCCTATCTCTGGCTGTCCACTCTATCTATACCTCTGATCATTTTGTACACCTCAATCAAGTCACCTCTCATCCTTCGTCATTCTAAAGAGAAAAGCCCTAGATCTCTCAACCTTTCTTCGTAAGACCTTCCCTCCATTCCAGGCAACATCCTGGTAAATCTCCTCTGCACCTTTTCCAACGCTTCCACATCTTTCTTGTAATGAGGCAACCAGCACTGGACACAATACTCCAGATGTGGCCAAACCAGGCTTTTGTATACCTGGAGCATAACTTCACGGCTCTTGAACTCAATCACTCTATTAATGAAAGCTAACACACCATTCACATTCTTAACAACTCTATCCACCTGGGTGGCAGCTTCCAGGGAACTGTGGACATGAACCCCAAGATCCCTCTGCTCCTCCACGCTGCCAAGAATCTTTCCGTTAACCCTGTATTCTGCTTTCAAATTTGTCCTTCCAAAATGAATCACCTCATAGTTTTCAGGGTTAAACTCCATCTGACACTTCTCAGCCCAGCTCTGTATCCTATCAATGTCCCTTTGTAACCTAGAACAGCCCTCCGCACTATCCACAACTCGACCCACCTTTGTATCATCCGCGAAATTACTAATCCATCTTTCCACTCCTACATCAAAGAGGACCCAGAACAGATGCTTGTGGTATACCACTTGTAACTGAACATCATGTTGAATATTTTACGTCCACTTCTAAGGGTCAGCCAATTCTGAATCCAATCTGCCACATTTCCCCCTATCCCATGCCTCCTTACTTTCTGCATGAGCCTACCATGGGGAACCTTATCAAACGCCTTACTTAAATCCATGTATACCACATCCACTGCTCTACCTTCATCCACATGTTTGGTCACCTCTTCAAAGAATTCAATAAGGTTTGTGAGGCATGATCTGCCCCTCACAAATCCATGCTGACTATCACGAATAAAACTGTGCCTATCCAAGTGATCATAAATCCTGTCTCTCAGAGCCCTTTCCAACAATTTTCCCACCACTGAAGTAAGACTAACTGTAATTTCTGGGGTTATCCCTATTCCCTTTTTTGAACAGGGGAATGAAGTTTGCCACTCTCCAATCTTCCAGAACTATACCCGTGGACAGTGAGGACGAAAAGATCATCGCCAAAGGCCCTGCGATCTCTTCCCTCGCTTCCCATAGAATCCTTGGATAAATCCCATCAGGCCCGGGGGACTTATTTATTTTCAAGTTCCTCAAAATTCCTAGTACATCTTCCTTACTAACATGCACCTCCTCTAGCCTACCAGCCTGTTTCACACTGTTCTCCCCTACAACTAGGTCCCTCTCAGTTGTGAATACCAAAGAAAAGTATTCATTAAGGACCTCTCCCATCTCTTTCGTCTCCGTGCACAAATACTTGATTGGCCCTACCCTTTCTCTGGTCATTCGCTTATTCCTAACGTAGGTGTAAAAAACCTTGGGGTTTTCCTTGATCCTATCTGCCAAGGTTTTCTCATGACCCCTTATAGCTCTCCTAAGCCCTTTCTTTAGGTCCTTCCTGGACAACTTGTATCCCTCTAGAGCCTTTTCTGATCCTTGTTTCCTAAACCTTATATAAGCACCCTTCTTCCTCTTAACTAGTCGTTGGAACTCTCTTGAGAACCAAGGTTCCCTAACTTGACTGCATCTTCCCTGCCTGCTAGGGACAAACATATCGAGCACATGCAGTATGCATTCCTTAAACAATCTTCACATTTCAATAGTGCTCTTCCCTGACAACATCTGTTCCCATTTTATGTTATCCGGTTCTTGCCTAACAGAATTATAATTACCCTTCCCCCAATTATAAACCTTACCCTGCTGTATGTACCTATCCTTTTCCATGACTATTGTAAAAGTAACAGAGTTATGATCGCTACCGCCAAAATGCTCTCCTACCAACAGGTCTGACACTTGGCCCGGTTCATTGCCAAACAACAAATCCAAAGTGGCCTCTCCTCGTGTTCCTCTATCTACATACTGTGTCAGGAATCCTTCCTGAACGCACTGGACAAAATCCGCTCTATCTAAACTATTACAACTAAAATGTTTCCAATCAATATTGTTAAAGTTGAAGTCACCCATGAGTACAACCCTACGACTTCTGCACCTTTCCAGTATCTGCCTCCCAATCCGCTCCTCCACTCTCTGCAACTATTAGGGGGTCTGTAAAAAAACCCCAACAAAGTGACTGCTCCTTTCTTGTTCCTGACCTCAACCCAAAGTGACTCTGTAGACATACCATTCTCGAACTGCCTTTCAGTTGCTGCTATACTAGCCCTGACTAGCAATGCCAGACTCCCGCCTCTTTTACCACCCTCCCTATTTCTTTTAAAGCATCTAAATCCCAGAACTTCCAACAACCATTCCTGTCCCTGGGTTACACAAGTTTCTGTAATGGCCACAACATCGTAGTTCCAAGTACTGACCCATGCTCTAAGTTCATCTGCCTTTTTCCTGATACTTCTAGCATTGAAGTATACACATGTCAAACCATCCCTGTGTCCACAATTATGGTCCATCCAATTACGCATTTCTTTATTAACAACCTCACACCCTGTTGTGTCTGTTGGAAGGCTGAATACCTCATTCTCTGAATTACAAATCCGGTTCCCCACCTCCTGCCAATCTAGTTTAAACTATCCCGTACAGCTCAAGCAAACGTCCCTCCCAGGATATTTGTGCCCTTCCGGTTCAGGTGCAACCCATCCTTACTGTACAGGTCCCACCTTCCCCAGAATGTGCTCCAATGATCTACATAATGGAAGCCCTCCTTCCTACACCAGCTCTGTAGCCATGTGTTTAGCTGCACACTCTCCCTATTTCTGACCTCGTTATCACGTGGCACTGGTAGTAATCCAGAGATAACTGGCCGGTTTGTCCTGGACTTCAGCTTCCAACCTAACTCCCTGTACTCGTTTTTCACATTCTCAGTCCTTTTTCTACCTATGTAATTGGTACCGATGTGTACCATGACTGCTGGTTGCTCACCTTCCCCCCTAAGGATCTTGAAGACACGATCTGAGACATCACGGACCCTGGCACCCGGGAGGCAACATACTATCTGTTCATCTCGTTTGTGTTCACAGAACTGCCTGTCTGTGCCTCTAACTATTGAATCCCCACTACAATTGCTCTCCTATTCTTCCCCTTTCCTTTCTGAGCCACAGAGCCAGACCCTGTACCAGAGACCCGGTCCCTGTGGCTTACCCCTGGTAGGTCGTCCCCCACAACAGTATACTTATTGTTGAGGGGAATGACCACAGGGGATCCCTGCACTGACTGTTTCCTTCCCTTCGCTTTCCTTACTGTCACCCAACTGCTTTCGTTCTTAGGAGTAACTATGTCCTTGTAGCTCGTTTCTGTCACCACCTCAGCCTCCGGAATGATCCTGTGTTCATTCAGCTCCAGCTCCAGTTCCTTAATGCAGGCTTTGAGGAGCTGGAGCTGGGTGCACTTCTCACAGGTGAAGTCAGCAGAGTCACTGCTGTCGACTCTTATTTCCCACATCCTGCAGGGAGGAACATTGCACTGCCCTGATTGCCATCCTCTCTAAATTTAAACTTCCCCGAAAGATTTGCAGAAAGTAGAGAATAATTTACTTACCCTTTTATTCTTAGGTAGAGGAGGTGGAAGGGTGGGAGACACCACTCTTGTGCTCTCACTCCCCGTCTCCTCCTCCTCCGCCGCCAAAAATGAAGGCCCCGAAGCACCAACTCTAAGCTGTAAACTGAACAGCGGATACTATATACCACATTAGCAGATGTGCAGGTGAACATCTGTTTAATGTGGAAGGTTTTCTTGGGGCCTGGGATGAAGGTGAG